TGTGTGTGTGTGTGTGTGTGTGACTGAGTGCGTGCGCGCTACGTGGCTCCAAACAGCAGTATGTTAACATATCATGTCAATATTAGCAGCTAATGTTTTCTCAGGGTTGCTAGGTAACAATATAGGAGGAAAATAAACGAAAGAAAACGCAGTGAGAAATTCAGTATACTGAAACAACACAAATTTCAAGCTAAAACATTAAACATCATCTTTGGTAATTGAATTAAAACTGAAATAAACTTAAATATAAATATTATATGAAAAAAAAGCTTTGAGATAATATAGTTGTTATTAATATTTTTAATCAGTTTTTATTTTTAGATTTTTTTTGTTTTCAATTTGATTTTAGTTAGTCAGTAATTTCGTTGTAGTTTTTATTTTGTGTATATGTCTATATAGTTTTTTTTTTCCATTTTTATTTAAATTTTACTATAATAAATTGTTAACTAGGGCTAAAACCATTAAAAAATATTTTTTTGTTAATTGAAGTAAAGATTAAATAAAATATTAAATGAGAACCATAAAATTAAATAATTAACCAAAATTAGAAATGCTGCCTTGGCAACTAACTGAAAGAAGTTTGTTGAAGTACTAAAATTTAAAAACTAAAAACTGAATTTAAAGTGAAATATAAATTAAAAAAACTAATAAAAATTTAATAGAATTACTAAAATGAAAATGAAATTTGGTTTCAAAACATGAATAAATGCAATAATAGTACATAAACAATATTAAAAGCGCACTGGTCCACATGAACCCTAATTTTCACAGTGTTTCTAATCAACTGTCCTGCTTGTTGCGAAACATTCTGGCAGGATACGTTGCAGGACGTTACCTTGCTCTTCTGTTGGCTTTATATAAAACAAGCGTTACCTGCTTCCTATTTTAGAAGAGTAAATTTAAGTCAACTACAAGAAGAGCTGGACATTAGACATCTTTGGAGGGGAGCACAGTTCATGAACTTACATAAACTGAAGGTGAAGCCTTTCATAAACAAAAGAAATATACTGATGTGTTCACACACACAGTGGGGATGAAGTGTAGTGTGGTGAGAAACAGGACGCGTTTGCCCTCGTCACTCTGCACCAGTTGCGTCAAAATCACCGGTTACTCAACCAGATGTATTACATGAATCATAAGTGGCCAAAAATTGAGGACACGTTCAACATGTTTATCTGAAGTGTAGGTCAAACCCAAGCCAGCACATGTTGATCCACAGCGTCTTGTAATGATGATACAATGATTAACTTCTGTAACTTTGTGCATCACTAATTTAGACGTGAATCTGATGTTCAAAATAGCTTATTAAATATTCATGCTACTTTTTTTAATCACCTGCCAATCAGTTTAACTCCGTTTAAAACAAAATGAATGCGTTGAAGTACAGTGATTTGTACCACATGAATTGGTAATATGATAATGTATTAATAATAAATGTATAATGTAACTTTAATTGAAAAAATATTAATAATAATCACAAACATTTATTCTCAACTATAGGCTTTTTATGGAACAGCAATGTTGTAACTTATTAAAGAATTAAAAAAATCTATTATTGTTATATATTTTTTTTTAGAATAAGTTTAGAATTTATAAATAATCCAATAAGTCACCACCAACATGAACAAATCTTCTAGCAAATAAAAAATTTAATTAGCACAAATGTTGCCCCTTTTGTCAAGCAACTTTATAGCTTGTTAAATAATTGAAAACTTTATTATTAATTTATTTTACTAAGTTTTAAATCAAATTTGAATTTAGTACAATAATGCAATAAATAATTTAAAAAGCCTTTTAAAAATAATTATTAGTAATCATTCGTTTTATTTTTTTATTTAATTATAATGATTTATTTTTCTAATATTTCATTTAATTTATTAATAAAATTAACACAATTAATAAAACCACAACAAACAAAACTTCTGGCAAATAAAATAAAATTCATTAGCAACTGTTGCCCCTTTTTTTTTTTTTGGCCAAGCAACATTGTAATTTTACAAAAATATTTTATTATTATTATTATTAGTTAATATTTTCAAATTCTAATAATTTGTTTAGTTTATTAAAAATTCAATTAATGCAATAAAACAATCTGAAAATAACTCATTAGCACATATCTTTATGGTTGCCAAGCAACACTGTAACTTAATAAAGAATTTAATAATCATTAGTTGTTAATGTGTCTAATAAATACTGTATAATTTACTAATGATAAAATTAGTACAATAAAAATTAACCACCTCAAACAAATCTCCTGGCAAATAAAATACATTGGCACAACTGTTGGCTGTTCATGGTTTCCAAACATGGATTTGATTAGTTCTGTTCTTTATTGTCCCTCACCCAGAGAACCACACCGGCGTGATGCTGAACGGTAAAGATGACCACGGTGACGAGGACGAGCTCATCAAGCGCGTGAGCCAGCTGACCACCAGCGTGGAAAGCGTCGAGATCACGGTGCGCTCGGGAGAGAAGATCGAAGAGGCTCTGACGCCCGAGAGCTCGCCCTCCAAATCACCCAACAAGAAGAAGAAGAAGTTCAGAACCCCGTCCTTTCTGAAGAAGAACAAAAAGAAAGAGAAAGTGGAAGCCTAGAGGAAGGAGTGAATCCATGCCCGCTTTGTCTGTCTTTGTTCGTTGTTTTATGTTTTTAAGTTTGAAAAAGCATGGCACGTTATTTTGGGAGTCTGTGAATAGATGGAGCGACATCCGTTTTTAAGAGACGTGCCATGATTATAAGATGAAATTTATACAGGAAGAGAAGCGATGGGAAACTCACCTGTTTCTCACCTGATGGACTGAAAATGTTCCTGTACAGTTTCCTAATGATTTTATCTCATGAGCCCATACTGCATTATTTTTCCATGCTGTATGTTTATTAGATTCTCATACAGACCTTTTATGAGCCCCTTTTCTATCCGCCACGTCATCTCTTACGGTGTCCGTTCTGCTCGCGTTGTTTCTCCAGCTGTAAGTGGACGGTAGGTGTAATTGGTCACACTACACAGGAGACTCTAAAGAATCACACTGGAAACCGTTCGGGGGTTATTTTAACAGGGTTTGTTTGATTTTGTTTCTCTTATGTTGCCTGCAATGGTCTGAAATTGGGTCTGATCCTGTGTGGAGTCACTCCAGTCTCCTCTCCGTACTGTTCTTTGCCAAACAAAAAGATTTAATGGCAAAAAAGCAGAGCAATCACGTTTTAGTGAACATCAACTCTTCATCTCTTATGAAATATTTTAGCTTTTTTTTTTTTATTGAAACAATTTAGTTTTTATCCATACAGTTTTGTACTCGTTTCTATACTTTAACAACGAAAATACAAAATCTTGAAGTATGTTTTGCTAGTCTGAATCTATATGGCTGATAATGTAGCAGTGCCTGACTTCTCAATCGTGTAATAGCTCAGATTACTAAACATGTAACGGAAATATATGAAAACTGGATTGATTTTATATATATATATATATATATACATACATACATACACACACACACACAGTATGTGTGTGTATATATATATATATATATATATATATAAATTTAATATTTTTGTTCTGCAATTTTTAATGTGGTATACATAAAAAAAAAAAGTCTATGGATGAACTTAGCAGGAGATCTAAAGCGAAAGAGGCGTGATATGAAAACATGAGAAATGTTTTAGCATCTAGAAAAAGGGTGGAGAAGGGAAACTTGTTAACATATAAGGAAAAAATATATATTTGTAAACTGTATTTTTGAAAAAGAAAAAAAAAGACGTCTCAGTCCTAAAGCGAAGTACTGGCTCGCACGGGGTCAACAGTGGGTTCAAATCTATTGAGTGTAATTGATTCCCATCACATCAGACATTTGAGCTTCATTCTGGGTCATTCTAGTGCTCTGAATGATCACCTTATGACAGCCATAAGTCATCCCATAACCATCCTACAGGCTTAAAAGTCTCCAAAACTTTAGTGTTACAAAGCTTGAGAAGCAGCATTGTACAGTGTGCTGTTTCCATCTAAAACTGGATTGATTTACTCATCTTCCCTCCAGTTCCCATGAGGTCAGAAGTTGCTTGTTTTGCCCATTTTAAAGCGCCCTGCCACACGAGATCACACTCTGTGGACAGAATGTACAACAAAAGCTAATCTCTCATGGTTAATATTAGCAGTTTGAACTCCGTTAGGCCCGAATGTGGTCATTATCCATCCCGTAGGGGGGAGGAAGAGGAGGAACCACTGAGAGAGAGAGAGAGATATGTATATCCCAGAGGGCAATGTGAAGTACTGGCTTGGGCACGGAGAGAGAGACAGACATTTCTAAGCTGTGTAAATAGCATGTGCTTTTGAATGCGGGCCAGGCGTGGATTAAAACATTTAAAGCTGCACCGGGTGCGAGTTTGGAGAGAGAACTGGGGCGGGTGGGAAGATTAACTCGTTTTATTGCTTTAACTTTTTCCTATTTTGGCTCTTTTTGCTTCGGTTTCCATTGCGTTTTTTTTACTTTTACCCCTACTGACCGTGTTGCACCTTGTTTTACTAATGCCTCTCTGTTGTAGTCTGGTCCTGAAGGCCTGTTTGCTTTGGCATGCGAGTTTGAGCCGAGCCTCTTTGTGACCTGTGAAATCCTATATAAATGGTTATCTAACGGACTTGCTTTTAGATGTATTGCTAATCAGTGTAAATTCACAAATAAACTATTTTAAGAAGCAAGCTGCACTCATCTGTGGGGACAAAAACATGCATTTCACACCATTTATGCATTTGTTTACATCATTCATTGCATCTCTCAGTTCTTCATACACAGCCATTTCACAGTTATGAAATGCAAATGTTAACGTCTTAACTAAATGAGGACATCTGACTTCAATTGTTAGTTTACTAAAAAAAATCGTTTACTTGCCCCTCATGTCACTCTGAACTGAGATTTTCTTCTGTGCAACACAAAAGGAGACATTTTCAATATTCATGCTGTTCTTTTTCCATACAGTTGAGAGATTATACTGGCCACCAAATACAGTGCAAGTATCGTAAAAGTAGTAATTATACCTTGTGCACTATATGACCAGAAGGGCTCACCATATCAGATTTTTACTACACTATTATCAAAATAATTCATGATTATTAGAAATTTGGAAATATAGACATTTTCACCAAAAAAGATACAAGTGATGGGAACTGGGGAGAAAGTTTATGATCATAAGAGGTCATTCAGACAATGTTTTTGTGTAAAAGCAAGAGAGATGTAGGACAGTAGAATTTATCCCTTGTGGTTCCTGGTCAAAAATGACCTGCCTACAAAAAATGGCTTGTAAATCTCATTATGCTATATTATTACCAAATATTAGATCCAATCTTTTTGTCAACTTGTTTTTTTTTTTCAATTTGCACAGGTTTTATATTTGTAGGTCTCATTAATCTGAGTTTATGCAGTAAATATTGCCTTTTTTTTTTTTTTTTTTTTTTTTAAAACATGAGGTGCTCAGATCAATGAGGCCTACTTTCAACTAGTTACAAAAAGAAACAGAACCTGTGCTAGATTGAATCCAATATTTGGTAATAATATAGCATAATGAGAGATTTACAAGCAGTTTTTAAAAGGCTGGTCATTTTTGACCGGGAAAACCAAAAAAAAAAAAAAGACTCATTTTTTGAAAGTTGAACTACTTTTATACGCCACAATGGACAGGTCATGCACAGGACACCGCAAACGACACTAATGCAATGGTCAGACATGTCTGTCTAGTGAATGTCATCCCAGAAATGCAATGGAAAAGCATTGCATTAACAGTATGACTGTTCTTTCTTAAAGGAATAGTTCATCCAAAACTGAAAGTTAGCTGAAAATGTACTCCAAGATGTAGAAGAGTTTATTTGTTAATCAGAACAGATTTGGATAAATGTAGCATTTTACATCACTTGCTCACCAATGGATCCTCTGCAGTGAATGGGTGCCGTCAGAATGAGAGTCCAAACAGCTGAGAAAAACACTCATCTACATCTTGGATGGCCTGAGGGTGAGCAAATTGTCAGCAAAACTTTCATTTTTGGGTGAACTGTCTTTTAAGGATGTGGTTTGACAAAATGTGTAAAGAAACAGGCAGTGCACTAAACTATCACTGCTTTTCTCATTTTCAGTTATGGGATCTCTGACACAGCAAAACATGTTCCTAAAAAATCGTGTATGTGGATGACAACTGCATTCTCATGAAATAATCAGCACTCGCTTTCCCGTTACATTTATGTATGAAGCACTTTTAACTGAAAACTCCCTCTATGCTTCTATTATTACCAATATGCACCAATAACAACCAAAGACCAATCCTTCTGCAGGATCCAGTGAATTCCCTCTTTGCAGCAAAAACAATGCTTTTACTTTAAGATTAGGTTGAATTTTTAACATCCATATCTTAACAAGTAATGCTCAGTGTTCAGAAATCCAGTCTATACTTCACTTTGACCTCTCAGTGACTGAATATGCATCTGATTCCTTTTGCACAAGCAGCAGACTGTTCGTTTGAAAGCAGGCGCTTCACTATTGTGTTTGTGCCGATGTGCCTTTCTGCATTTTTCCCATGAATGCAACACCTGAAATATGCAACAAATGTATCGAGACACTGGTGCGATTCACACGTTAGTTAAACCGTGGGCGACCGAGTTGGTGGGGCAAATCCCCATTCTGATTGTGGAGCAGCTTTGCTGTTTTAGGACACAAAGTGGTCAGTATGAGGCTGATTGTAGATCGGTTGTCTCACAAGCCTCGTTTGCTTTCATTTTCCCTGCACATCTAATTTGATTATCCTCAGTCAACTCATTTTACTCTCGTTGAGCCACAGAATAATGCTGCCCTGAGGGCTGATCTGGGGTCAGACCTATGCATAGTGAAACTGTTCAGATTGGCCTCTGTGACCCAAATATTATCAGCCTTGTGATTTATTTTGCCCGTGCAGATGAATGTTTTGAAGATGTTTTGGTTGTATATGGAGCATCAAGATTAAATGGAAATGAATAAAGAGGCCTTGTGAATTATTTATATATATATATATATATATATATATATATACTGTATATGTGAATTGAACTAATGAAATTTTTTTTTTAAATGGTCACAATTAAAAAGTAATAAACTCAATTTATATTCAAACATTTAAAATGTTCACTTAATAAAATTTGAATTAAAGAATTAAAAGAATTAAAGTTTTAATTAGCTGTAAATTTTCAATTATTAAATAAAAAATGGCAAATTACTTTCATCAAAGTAATTTTTTCTACGATGCCTAAGGGTCAGGAGTGGACAAAATTTCATAATTTCTTATCTTGGCCACTCTTATTGCCACATGGAGTTGCTTTTGATTTCAATTTGGTTAAAACATTTAATATTGCAGGTTCTAATAAAGTTGCCTGCTAACTGGTCGGTTTAATTACTCTGACAAACAATATTTACTCCCGCTTGGCACTTGGCCAGTGTTAATTCTGCACCCTATTTCCAAGCAATACATACTAATAAAGTTTACGTCCTAAATAAACATCGTTTTAATGAGAGCAGAATTCAAATGTAATGTTAAAGGGGTTATATGATGCTGCTAAAAATAACATTATTTTGTGTATTTGGTGTAATGAAATGTGTTTATGCGGTTTAAAGTGAAAAAAAACACATTATTTTCCACATACTGTACATTATTGTTTCTCGTCTATGCCCCGCCTTTTTGAAA